AAAATTAAATTTTCAAGAATAAGAGTAGCCTAATTACTTTTCTACTAGTGTTTATAAATGTGAGATATGAATGTTTACCTATGGAAGAAGCATAGCAAAAAAAAAAAGCTTTCTTATGAATGGTGAATTCAAGATCCTAGAGTCCAAGGTTAATTAGACTATTCAGATTTGTTTCATATTCTAAAACAGAATGCATAAAATTACATAATTTCCTCATATTTTACTTTTCTATAAGCTGAGTACTTATGTTTAATAAATAATATCCATTTTAATGCTTTTTCAACAAGTATAACTCTTTCATATATATATATTTTTTTTCTTTTCCTTTACGGTAATTTATTTCTTTTGATAAACAGAGAGTGAGAGTGCTTGCTTATGCTAGCAGGGCAGGGACAGAGAGAGAGTGAGCCAGAGAATCCCAAGCAGGCTCCACGCTGATAGGACAGAGCCTAACAAGGCGCTCGATCTCAAAAACCAAAGTATCATGACCTGGTTAGATTTTTAACCAACTAAGCCACCCAAGCACCCTTCTTGTATATATATTTTAATCATTAATCACTAAAAACAAACTTAGCATTATTAAGCTTACAGAAAAAGGAGTTTATATTCATATTTCATAAATGTTCCTTATTATTTAAACTAATAATTCAACTTATGGGAAAACTAAATTTCCCCCCACCTGAGTTGTTTCTAACTGGAAAACTTTGGAAAATGCATATTCTATAATAGAATATTGATAAAGTAGATACTAGTACACCTATGTAATAGAGTAACAAATTCTTATCTACAATTATGTAGTATAAGAATATCTAATGATGGGGCACCTGGGTGGCTCCATTGGTTAAGCATCCCTCTTTGGCTCAGGTCACGATCCCATGGTTTGTGAGTTTGAGCTCTGCATTGGGCTTGCTGCCCTCCGTGCAGAGGCCTTTTCAGATCCTCCACCTCCTCCCTCTTTGCCCCCTCCTTCCCGTGCTCTCTCTCAAAAATAAACATTAAAAAAAGTTTTAAAGAATATCTAATGATATTGAACTGTTGTATTGCATTCAATTATGATCAAATTTTTGTAGATAAGAAATACAAGAAACATGACCATTTGACTGTGACTGCCCATTTTACTACACAACATTGTTAATAATAAATGATCTCTGGGCAGTACTCTGAGTTGGAGAACTTTGCTGTCCACAGGACCAGCTACATCATTTGTAGGCTTAGAGCATAATCAACTACAGAGTTCCTTTTTTAAAACTTATTAATAATTTTAAGAGAGCAGAGGATAAAATCAAGCATGGGTCCCTTTGGCCAGGTCCCTATGATGCAATATTAATATTAATATTAAGTTGGATTTTGGAAGCTTGAAAAACATGATAGCCCACACAAATTGAAGTAGAATTAGCAGGGCTGCCATGGCTAACCATGTGGGTATAGATCAAAAGTCTAAGAAAAATGGGAATTTGATAATGGATATATTATGCAAGATCAAAAACCCCACATGGTTACTATGTTCCATGGGAGGACTCAGAGCTTTCTTCCATTACCATAGTAATAAGGAATGTTCCATTAGGAAAGGTTATAGGCCAGGGCTGATAATAGGAAATTCTATTACAGAACTGTGCTTCCTAATGCAGGTGATAAGATTACAAAATAATAGAGGCCAGATATTGGCCAGTAACCATCAGAGTAAAGATGGATAAATGTATTTTAATAAGTGACAAGGTCAAATTGGTAGTTTGGAGTGTCTGACCTTCAGAGAATTAAGCAGATACTTATAGAGTATAGTGCCCCTAGAGGCAAAAAAAAAAAAAATGTTCAGTTTATTAAATCCAAGGAAATAGCGAAGTAGACACCTACTCCATTAAAGTCTCTATGAGTGTGTCATAGGAGACACGTCTTGGATATACCCTCTGTCTCCTTTGCATTTCTGCTAAGCTTATATTTCTGAAACTGATTTTCTAGCCCTTTTCCCTTTTATTACAGGAGCTAAGGTGTTCCTAAAATGTGTCTTCAAAGGCCTTCTGTCTTTTACAATCTATGCAGTTGATTACTAATAATAATATGATGATAATAATAACAATCAATAATTTAAAAGTAAAAATCGTAAATAGTTAAAAGCAAATAGATAATATTCTTTTTATTCGAGGCTTCTAAAATTATCAACAAAAGTAAGTTAGGTCTAAAATTCTTAAATTATACTTGAACTATAATTTCAAGTGCTAGAGCTCTTTAAAAACGCAGTGTTTCACTTTTTACCTAGATGCAGTGGCAGTCTTTCGTAGACTGGAGTCTTTCTATCCTTGATGCCACAGCCCCGCAGTGGCCATCGCCACCCTAACTTATACCAGTAATGAAGTTCCTTCCTCCACCTGACTGGTGAGTGTTCCAGTTCCAAAATCTCAGTTTAGGAGTCTCCTTCCTCTATTCCTTATATAAAGCATCAAAGTGTTTCTACTCAAAGCAGGGATAAGAAATGGGATTGGTTGTTATCAGTTAATTTGCCAGATGATCACAAGAAGCAGAATTTAAGAAACAGATTGGGAAAGGAAAAGGCAAACCAAAGGTCCATTATGAAGGACATTGGTGTGGGCAATGTTAACCATTAGCACTGCTGATTCATTTTTACCCTTAAAATGTCTATCAAATGCAACTGGAATTGTTGACCTAAAGCAGAAAACTATGAAGCATTTATGACATGCATCTCATTGTTTGCAAGTTCCTCTCCTGGGGGATCTCTGCATTTTCTGCCTGTCCTTGGCTATGGAGTAGACCCTCCCTGCTCTAGAGCTGGCAGTGAATCAGAAAGCAGAAGCCATGGTACAAACTTGAGATGAGAAGCTAGTACATGTAGTGAATCTGATCTCTTAAAAAAAACCGACCACCAAAGCTAAAACTGAATTTAGATTGGGCTGGAAGACTGTACCACCCACTATAACCAATGGCATCTGCTCTACCTCACTTTTAATCTTGTAAGGTACTTTGTTGTGGTTGTTGTTATTTTACACCTCACCAGTGTCCTCTTAATCCCTCTCTTGTTCTTGGTCTTTCTCAGTTAAACCATGTGAGTCCTTTAATTTTGTATTACTTGGTGTTTTGGACTGAAGAGAGATACCTGCTTGTTTAACTAGAGATACCAAAGAAATATAACTTACTAGATGTTTTGGAAAAGGTCCCTAGAGCAAAACATTCAGGTTTGTAACCCATCTGTACAGCTATAAAACACTATGTTCAAATGCAGTTAATTATCAAATGCTGGTATTTACAATCTAAATTCTGTTGTCCAAAAAAAACATCAAATAATTCATTTAATTTTCTCACATATGCAACTTGAACTTACATTACATCTCACAATAAAAATACACAGAAAATAGTTTAGATCTTACATTGAAGGGTTTATCTATTTGGAAACAAAGTGCCATTTTATAAAAATAAAAATAAATTCAAAATAAAACCCAACCAAATGTATACAAGTTCTTAAATGATCATTCTAATTTTGTCTTATAAAAAAGATACTTTGTGTTAAATAAATGCAAAATTATTTAGGATGAGAAATATATATATTTGCTTAAAATCTTCATGACCTAGTTCATTGTACTCTAAGAGGACTATTTTTTCAGAAATATAAAATATATTTCTTTGAGTTATAAAGTTAAATTTATGAAAATGATTTGTAATTTGTTGAAATACATTTGACACTGTAAATTTTTTAAATATCCAGTGAAATATTTTTCTTTACATTGTTTCAGAACAGAGCAAATGCCTCAGGGGAAATGCCAAGCATTTTTTCTTTAACTGACAAATAATTTTATGGCACTAGTTATTAAATGTCTTGAAAACATCAATTTTATATCAAAGTCCTATCAAATAGACAATTTTAATGAATGTCTATTCTTATTTTTGTTTCTAAAGGCCATAAAACTCAAATAATATGAAGTAAAACAAAAGAATTATGTTGCTAACAAAACAATGAATAATTTCACTGAACTGTCTTGTTAAATATCTTGGACTTGACACATTGTTGGTTATGATGACAGGTTACATGGAATTACAGTTCATGCTCAGTTGGCTGATATTACATGTGATCAGAATGTTTCAAGCAAGAGAATGTTAAAAATTCATGCTGAACTAAATGTTGAATGGATAGAAATATATTAAGAACTGCACTTTCCATTTTTAATATATGATGATGCTGTTATATATGGGAATTTACATGTTGTATAATCTTACTTTGCTAAGGATTTCAAAACACTAAGCAAGTACATCAAAAGTAAAGCCATCTGTTTGAATACCTTGCTTATCCTTAACAATTGTGGCAAGTTAGGCTTTCCGGGTAGCAAACTCAGAGATGTAGAATAACATATGGAAGTTTTTTCAGGAATATCCTGAGGTAGAAATCTCTGAAAGTGAAGGAAAAGAAGCTGGATTGGGTGGTAGGAGAAGTGAGGTGTGATGCCGTCTCAACAAATACCTCAGCCAGTTCTGAGGGGATTGCTGAAACTGGAATGGCCCATTCAGAATGATTCTGAACTGGGGTGAGAAGGCTGGCCCTTTGTGTATTCATCTAACAGTTGTCATTGGTCGGGTGACCTGGGTGGCTCAGTCGGTTAAGTGTCTGACTTTGGCTCAGGTCATGATCTCATGGATCTCATGGTTCCTGAGTTCGAACTTTGCACTGACAGTGCAAAGCCTGCTTGGGATTCTCTCTCTCCCTCTTTCTCTCTGCTCCTCTCCCACTCTCACTCTCTCAAAATAAGTAAATAAACTTTAAAACTTTAAGGTTGTCTTTGGTTGCAGGCAGCCTCAGAAAGGCAACATAACCTTAACCAAAGCTATTTTCCTTAAGTGAGGCAAATCCAGAATAGGTCTGCCAACTAACAGTCTGTTGGGAGAGATACAAAGAACTTAAGTGGGGGGAACGTCATTTCATTCCTATGGAGGAATCTGATAGCGCATCACACAATCCACTACAATTTACCCCTTATGCTACACTGGAAGTAGAACATATATGAGCTCCAAGATTCTAACCTGTTATTTTCTGAAGGAAAGCATGAAACAGCAAGGTTAGTGGGACAAATCGTATCCCTTACTACTACAGTTGGGCTCTGGGCTTAACCAGCATGCAGTCTTCCTTACAATCTCTCTCCCTATCATCTATCTCTCTTCTATGTTCCTGTCAAACTCAAGTGATAATTCTGCTAGTATCAGCAGTTAACTGGTGGTGTAATCCAGAATCTCATTCATCAGTGGAAGAATATAGTATTTGCAGCATGTCCAGCTGGTTCTGGTCTTTTTTGGTTGATGTTAAGACAGAAGGAAGATTCAACATAGCTCCAGGCAAAATTATAAATGAATACTGAGGTCTGTTCCAAGCAAATACAAACTTTCTCAGCTCCTCTTTTCTGATAGAAATGGAAAAGAACCAATTTGCCAGATCAATGGCTACATACCATGTACTAGAGGTCATGTTAATTTTCTGCAGCAAATATATTACATCTGGCACAACAGCTGCTTTTAGGTTATTACCTGGTTGAGTTTGCAGTTATCTACTGTCATCTTCCATCTGTTTTTTTGTTTGTTTTGTTTTGTTTTGTTTCGTTTCTGGAGCCAGATGGTAAATTAAATGGAAACAATGAATTCTTGGATCCTTTAGGTCTTTAAGACCTACTAATTTTAGCTATTTCTCCTGGGATTCAATATTGTTATTTATTTATTTAATTGGCTGGGGGCTCATATGTTTTTAATATCTATGTTTATTTATCTTGTCCTGAAAACAAACATGAAGTTTCTTAATTAGAGATCAGACTTATTATTACTGTAGTAACAGTACTGATTATCTGTATTCCAGTCCCCTGGGATGATTCGATGGGGGCAAATGTCACTGGCACATGTACAGGAGAAAAACCCTGAAATCATGCATCTAACAGCTTATATAGGAACTCCTTTATAGCACTCCTATCTCATTCCTCAAAAAAGCCACCTCCCTGAGAAAAGAAGACCTTCTTTTTAATGTAAAAAAAATCTTCTCTTAGAAAATAAGAGCGAGTCCTTGTTTTTACAACATTTTGAAATATAAACAAATGGTTCAGAGTTTTATTACCTTTAAGAGAGAATAATATATCTATAGATATAACACCCTTATAATGTGAAGAACAAATAGTTTTGGGGAAAATGGCACATTCTTTGTCTTAATAGCATTTCAATTGTGTTTCCTCAGAAAGTCCTGACAATGCAGAAACCTGAAAATTTCTTCTTCACAGAAACTGGCATTTTTAGTGTTGCACCTGGATTTTGCTATGAAAGCTCTTACCTTGCAAGGCAAGGAAAAAATGGAAAATCCTTCCAATTACACAGTGTGTCTATTTCAATTACATATTTGGTGATTGGAGAGATAGCCATGTGATGGTTTTGCAGACCCAGTGGACTCACTGTGAGCCTAACCCACACAATATGCTTATGTATCCATGTGCCTCATGTCTCCACCATAACTGTGCCTCATCATTATACTCTGGTGTTTTGCATACCATTGTAAACTTAAAACTTGAATAAATAGTCATAGGTCTCTTTGAGAAATGAATGCCCAGGAGTCATCGTACAGTTTTTCCTCCTGAAGACCCAGACTCAGCCTCAATCACTGTGTTCTCTGTATGAATATTACCTCAAAATTGACAGTTAGGCAAGAAGTCATGGCACTTTATTAAATAATTGCTCTCAGTCACCTGATTGCCTGTTTTTCATTATATAAACTGAGCATTATCTCTGGTGACTGCCCACCTATATTTATCCTCATAGGGAAGCCATGTTCTATTAAGAAATTCCATAACACTAATGGATCAGTCTCCCACATTGCCCTTTCTACATTGTCACTGATTTTGGCAACTTTGTTCACTTGATTTCTGCTGATTAAGCATTGATAGCATTGGGAGACACTTGCTCCTACTAAGAAGGAGTAGAAATCTATTGTAAACTCAGAGAGTTTAGAATAATCTAGACATGTAAAATTGGGGAGGAGGAATCAGTGCACATATTCCAATCCCAGGTGGCAAAATCTCATCCCTTCTCAACTGGGGTTCTTGATCTTATCATTTCATATATATATATAATTTGAAAGATGAAACCTCTATGGAGTTCTGATCCTTTAATGATTAAGGTCTCAGGTTTTTCTTCCTTCTGGTCGCAGAAATGGAGAGTCTTCCTATATACTAACAAGAGGTTCTTCTGACTTTCATGGTAAAGACTTAATTGTTAATTAATCACTCTTCTTTATTTCTTCTCTTTTTTTCAAAGCCCCCTTTGTGCTTGGCAATGGCAACTCAATTCCAAAGCCCTCATAGTTACTAATACCTCATTATTTTTCTTTAATATCTTCTCAAATTATTCCCATTGGTATCTGCTAGTTAATCTCTCAGCAGAATATCATTTCAGTTTGCCACCCCAAAAAAAATGTTAAAAGTTTACTATTAATTACTTAATGCCAGGGCCTATTATTGTTGCCTATTAATAGGGATGGTGATATCATTGCCAGTGGAACAGCAGTTAATCCCAAATCTTACCTTAGTGTCTACTTTCTCAAACCATATTGATACCAGATATCACATGCTGATATCCACAAGAAGAATATTCTGCAAATCTTATTAAAGCAGAGCCTGAAATGGAGATTAGAATGTAGAAGGTTAGTTAAGGAGTGTTATTGGAATTCTCATTACTGAAGGGGAAACTATGATGCAATTTGAGCAGATAGAATACAAAGACTGTAATATGGTTTCAGTGAAGGTCCCAGGTAGCCCCAAGGAAAATTTTACAGATACAAGTTAATTGTGAATTGTGGCAAAGAGACTTGGCATCCATACCCTTGTATTGGCTATTCACTATTTTGAATTATTATTTCAAGAGGGCATGATCTTGGGTGAGGCTACGCTTTTTAGCTGAAGCATTTCTTCAAGAAAGCTGAGAGCCAAAAGGTATCTACAGATAACATGCCCAGCAGCTAGGGGACTAAGTCCTGAAGAAGAATTTGGTTGATGCAGCCTGGCAGCTATTTTATCTGCTATTATAGAGAGATTTCTGCCTTTATATATATATATATATATTTTTATTTATTTCTAGGAGAGAGAGAGAGAGACAGCGTGAGCAGGGGAGGGTCAGAGAGAGAGGGAGACACAGACTCTGAAATAGGCTCCAGGCTCTGAGCTGGCAGTCAGCACAAAGCCCGACACGGGGCTCAAACCCATGAACCGCGAGATCATGACCTAAGCGAAAGTCGGACGCTTAACCGACGAAGCCACCCAGGCGCCCCGAGATTTCTGCCTTTTTAATCTTTTAAAAAGTACATTTGATATTTACTCCTTGGGTCAGCTGTTGTCAGCATGGACCTTGTTATGGGTGACAATGTTCCCTCAGTGTTGAACTCCTAATTCTCAATACCTCAGATTCTGAACTTATCTGGAGATAAGGTTTTATAGAGGCATTCAAATTAAAATGATGTCATTAAGATGGGCTTTCCTCCAATGTGACTGTGTCTTTATAAAGAGACGACATTTCAACATCCAGAAATGCACAAGAGAAGATGGTGTGAGGAAAAAGCTGTATGAGGAGAGAGGATTGGAGTGATTCATCTTCAAGCCAAGGAACTCCAAAGATTCCAGCAAACTACCAGAGCTAGGAGGAGGAGGCAAAGAAAGATTCTTCTATGGGTTTCAGAAGATCATGGCCTTCCCAACACTATGATTTGGGGCTTCTAGCCTCTGGAACTGGAACCCAATAATTGTTATTTTAAGACACTCAGTTTGTGTTCTTCATTGTGGCAAGTACATGAGAAACTAATACAGACTCTAAAATAAATAATATAACAATTCACTAAGACTGTCTCTTAGTTAATTATGTTCTCTATTAAAAGTTATTCCTTTAGATAGATGATATATAATAAAAATATAATTGAAGACAAAATATGAAACATTTATGAGATCATTGAGATTTGTAACATTAGAACAAATCTGAAGAAAGTAATTTTATGTATTGATAATTAAAGAATGTGAGAACAGGTTGTGATATTAAGTTAAATGGTTTGGATAGTCCTCCCTGAAAAGGCAATGTTTAAGCAAAAAAAAAAAAAAAAAAAAAAAAGCATGTGCCTTAAGTTGGGACCAAGCCTGATGAGCTACAGGAAAATTAATGAATCCAAAGTGACTAGAATAAGTAACATTACAGGTTGAGTAGCAGGAGAGGAGTTCAGGAACCAGATCTCAAAGAAACATAATGGTCAGTGCAGAAAACATGCAGCAAGTAAAATGGAATTCTGATGCAGGGCTTTGAAGAGAGGAGTGACATAATCTGATTATCATTTTGACAGCATCACCTAAGTTGCTTGTTAATCGCCATTAAAAGGGTAAAGGGTAGAAGCAGGGCCAAAAGTTAGGAGACTGCAAGCATCCAAGTGAGAAATAATGGTCTGGATCAGAGTGGTGGCACTATGATAGATTCTGACGGATTTGACCTTACTTAATTGTAGAGTTGATTAAGAAGTCTCTGGGTGACTATTGTCTTGAATCTGGTGGTGAAATTGAAGTTGCCATAGGTCAGCAGGGACAGCAGCTGGGAAGAAAAGATGGCTGTGAATCAACAGAGTGAGAACAAACCGAAACCTCTGAGGACAAAGCAAGTGGATCCCACAAGAACGAACTGAAACCCCCAGGAACAAGCTGAAATCTACACTTGACTTTTGATCAACTCCAACTTGATTCATGCATACTACCTCCAGATGAAACAAGTGCACTTTTTGCCCTGCCCCTGTATATTCATTTGCCTGAAATTGCCAGAACTTGAAGAAACTTAAGGAAGAGATCTTGGGAAGGTAGAAGAGCTGTGGAACTGACTGGTGGCCTACACCGACAAGATGTGCCAGCATGTCAGTGAGCCATATCAGTTGCAATGGCACCTGATGCCCCATCCAAACCCTTATAGTAAAATGCCTGCTGCTCCAGCACCACCTTTCAAACACTCATGCATATAAAGTTCATGCCGAACCCTACCTAGCCTTTAATCATGCAGAAATGAAATTCTAAGAAGATTTGTTTCACATTGCTAATTTGACACAGAACAAAATCCAGCAAAATGTACCCTTTTTCAATGTGGTATCACCGTAAAATCCTTTTAAGCATATTTAACTCTTAAAAGTCAAGAGAAAAACCATGCTTTCATTTAACATGATACAAATAACTCTCATACAACTTAAAATACACTAATTTTCTTTATGTAATATATCACATGTATCACCTCCCTCTCATAAATCACCCTTTCCATCTTTGGGTGATGGTCATTCTAGCTGAATAATAGCCACTTTAATACTGAGGGATTTAATAATGCAACTTTAATACTGAGGGATATGTTTAAGCACTATTGACTTATGTTAGATACTATGAGAATGGTAGAGGGTAAAACAAATAGTAAATTATTGGTTGACATATGAACATATATACCTTTGTCAAAGTAAGGAAATATTTATTTTATTACGGGATTTGTTTCTGCCACTGGTCACATGGTCCTAGTTGCTATTTATAATATCTTCCACAGCCTCTTCTTTAAACTACCCTTCCCACACTAAATTAGCACAGTATTTCACTGAATTGTATAAAAAAGCATGGCCAAACTGGATGCTACCTAAAGGATTCCATGCATTTAAGTTCCATTTGGATGGAACAAATGCTGTGTCTTTGGTGACAGATTAGGAACCTTTACTGGCCTCTAAAACAACAGGGCCCAAATTTGGGGTGATTGGAGGCAAAATGTTTACTAAGAAATCATTCAGAATAATAGTAACAGAAAAAAATTTCCAGTGCACCTATGGCTCCATTCTTTGATTCTCAAACTCATAAATTCTAGATATAGGAGGAATATCACTGGATATTGGTGTATGATTTAGAATATACATATATCATTTTTGGAGGGTGCTACCTCAGCTTTACAAGGTGTTGCTAACTGATGTCTTATCTGACTCTCTAAAAGACTTTTTTTTTAAAATCAGAGTAGATGCTTTAGTGTAAAAGAAATGAACTAAGACCAGAAAATTTCATAAGCAAGAGGCCATTTCCAAACTTTATTTGTTATAAAATGAGTTTGTTTATAGGAAACTATTTTATGTAAAATACCACGATGGTGAATAATTATTTTCTAAGTCCAAATATAGTGGTTTTGTCAGAAGCTCTTTGAGCAGGAAAGGGAATTTCATATTCAAAATAAATGCCTAAACCTATGAGTAAAAGCGTGGCTCCTTTCCATGACAGAAGTGATATAACTAGCATCTGGTTGTTCCGTTTAGCAAACAGTGTCAAACCTGGGACTCCAGTTTGATATCAGATGCTGAAAAATGAGCTACTCAGTAGTGGTTATAGTCACATATGTCCTGGTGAGAAGTCTTTGCCTAGTATATATTTACAGGCAAATGGCACTGCTGCTATTATTACTAGACTGCATCCTTACTAACAAACATTGTAGCTTCCAAGAAACTTTTGGACTCTAAAGGGGTTTTTAGAGTTAGCCAAGATTATTATTCTTGTTCCTGATATTTCATGTCATATTTTCTCTTTACTAACAGTTGTGAAACATTAATACTTAACGATCTTACATGTGTCTGCCTGACCTTCTGCCCATCATGCATCATGAGACGCACACACAGGGATGTGCACACAATCCACATATCCCTAGATCTCACTCCTAGATCCA